CCAGAGTATGTGGAGATAAGCTATAGGAAGACTGGAAAGGTTGAATGGGGACCAGGTTATGAAGGGCTCTGAATGCTACAGAAGATTTTATTTTTGATTCTGGAGGGTAATAGGAAGCAATTTATGTAATTTATGCAATGAGAGTATAACATGGTCAGACACCCCCCCAACCCTTTCTATCAGTTTGACAGCTGACTGGGGGATGGACTGAAGTGGGAAGAGAGTTGAGGCAATCAGACTCTCCCCAGCAGCTCTTGCAGCAGTCCAGGTGTGAGGTGATGAGGGCCTTCACAAAGGTGGGAGTGCTTTCCAGGGATAGTGAAAGGGTGAACGTGACAGGGTTCAACTACAGATTTGATATGAGGATTGGGGGTGATGCACTTAGTAGTGGAAGATTGGACCTAGGGTTCTTGACTGAGTGACCAGGAAGCTGGTGCCTATCAGGAATTTACAGAGATCTGAAGAGACAAGGAAAGCCTCACACCTGGTGATTTGTCCTTTGGCAGCCAGCTAACTCTTTCTATGGAGACATTTGGGATAGTTTTTCTCCAAAGCTCAGTGGCATAGAAAAGAATTTTTCCTGGAAAAAAAAAAAACTTGTTACATTGGTAGCAGTGATGATATTAAGGTTGAGGTGGGGCATGGCACTGGAGTATGGAAGACAAATTAAATCAGGGTACAGATTATAGGCTTATAGAGTGTTTTAAGAAGTTGTTCAGTACCTTCAGTCCTGTCTGACTCTTTAAAAAAAATTTTTTTATTTAATAAACAAATGCACAATACGAAAAAGTAAAAGAAACATATTAGGAACTTAAATATTGAAACTTATATACAAAATAAGGCAAGAAAAAAGTGTGTCATGTGTACAGCAGAATGTGAGAGGATTCAGAATATACAGTAATAAGTATCCATTTCAAGAAAGCCTGCCTGTATAATCAATACTATGCATTTCGTTGAAAACTGTCCATCTTTTCTTTACTTCCTTGTAAGTTTTCTTTTGTTCTGTGCTGTGCACTTTTTACTTTGCTCTTTTTTCTCCTTCTCTCATTCCTCCCCCTCCCAGACACTACAATTAAGCATGGATAAATTTATAGATAGATAGATAGATAGATAGATAGATAGATATGTATATATACACCTATACATAAATACACATGCATACATATATGCATACATATTTACATATATAAATATATACATTCCTTAACAGATTCTAACCCTAATCTTTGTTTTTACGTGTGAGTGTATCTCATTTCCTACCCCTCCTGACTCCTTTACTTTGCTTCTATCTGCTACCTTGCCCTCCTCCAACAACCTACCCCCTCCAACAACTCCTCCCTTACCTTCCCATTACCATTAAACACCCTTCTACATCCCCCTTTAACCTATTCCCTCAACCTCCCCTCTGAAGATCCCTCTCTTATCCTCTCCCCCATCCTTATCCCCTTAGCATTTTATTTCTTTCTAAATTTAGAAGACTTTTATACTCTTCTAGATGTATATGTATTGTTCCTTCTTGAACCCATTCCCAATGAAAGTAAGCTTCCAGAGCTAACAGCCCTGCTCCCCCATCTAATTCCTCTGTATCAGTTCTTCTGGCACCTCATTTATATAAGATATTTATTCTTTTTAGCTGTTCCTGAATGATTTTGCTTTTTGAAGGCATATCATGCTCAGGTCTACCCCAATCTTTTTTATGAACTATCCAATTACTAATAACAATCTTAGACATGGGTTTTACATTTTACTTATATAAAAAGTAAACAGTCTGTCCTTATTGAGTCCCTTGTAATTGGTCACTGGTATATACCTTATATTTCTCTTGTCTCATATGTCAAATATTCTATTAAATTCAGGTTTTTTTTTTTAAATCCTTAAAGTCTGACAATTCATTAAACATCTTCTTTTTTTCATTCAGAATTATGCTTAGCTTTCCTGGGTGTGATATTTTCAGCTAGAACAGCAGTTCTTTTGCTCTTTGATATATAGTGTTCCAAGGCCTGTAGTCTTTTAGTGTCACCACTGCTAGGTCTTATGTGATTCTAATTGTGGCACCATCATATGTAAATTGTTTTTTTTTCTTGTTGCTCATAATATTTTGTGTTTGAGCTGGGGGTTTCAGAATTTGACTGTAATATTCCTGTGGGTTTTCCTCATAGGATCTCTTTCAGGTTGGTGATTGGTAAATTTTTTTCTGTTTCTACTTTCCCCTCTTCTAGTGCATCAGGACATTTTTCTTTAATTATTTCTTAAGATTTTTTTTTTGATCATAACTTTCAGGTAGTCTGGTTATTCTTATATTTTCTCTTCTTGATATGTACTCTAGATCAGTTATTTTTATTATGAGATATTTTATATTCTCTTCTATTTTTTAAAATTCTTTATATTTTGTTTTATTATTTCTTGATCTCATAACTTTATTGGCTTCCCCTTGCCCAATTCTGATTTCCAAGGAGTCAATTTCTTCCTTAAGATTCTGGATCTCCTTTTCTAATTGGTTGACTTTCTTTTCATAATCTTCTTGTTTTTCTTGGATTCTTCTTATTTTTCTTTTTAGTTTTCCCTCAATCTCTCTCCTTTGATTTTTAAAGTCTTTTTTAAGTTGTTCTATAAGTTGTTTTTGGGCAGGTGATCATTTGACAGTATTCTTTGGAGTAGGAGAGAGTTTCTTTGCTTCTGTATCATCCTCTGAAGATGAACTCCAGTCTTTTGTATTTTCATAGAAACTCCATGTGGTTGGATTCTTTCTCCTTTGGCTGGGCATTTCTTTGTAATAGTTTAGTTCTTGTAATCATCTCTAGGCCTGGGGCATGGGGGATGGTGCCTCTGGCCTTAGATCCTCCTTCAGTTCTCCCCTCTGACCTTGAACTCAAATCAAGACCTCCAGCCTCCTGTAAATGCCCACAGTCAGCTGCAGCCCCGCCTCACTGTATCTGCACTTACCACGTGTGTCCTGGTTCCTTCTAACCCCTGTGGGGTCTCCACAGCACAGCTGAGTCTACTGTTTCTTGTCAGTAGAGGTTCCCTCCACTTTTCCTGGCTCAGACACCCAACTCCCTTCACTGTCCTAGAGTTAAAAGTTCCTGGGGTTGGGACAGAGGCAGCCTCCCAACCCAGCTAATGCCAGGACTTGCTGCTTATTGTTTAAGCTGACCAAAGACCTACCCTGGAAGTGTTTACTCTTCATAGGAAGGAAGCCTCATCCTGGGATTTTTCCTCAGATTTTCCCTGATTATTCCTTGAGGACTTCCTGCTCTTATTTATTTTAACTGCTCTATGTTCACCCTGAGGTGCTGTTTTATTTCTTTTGTGGAGGAAAATCTTGAGAGCTTGAAACTTTCTGACCATCTTCCCCAAATCCTCTCCATGTCTGATTCTTAAGTGAAAAAGGAGTGACTCAGGGGACCCTAGAGAAAAGAAAAGATTCAGAAATTCTTGGGAATCTCAAGAAGTGTAAAAGAGCAATAAATTTCTCAATTGTTCTAAAGTAAAATAATGGAATAAAGAAGTGAAAAGTGAAATATAGATTACAAAAAAACCCTAAATCAAATGTTTTAAAGAAGAACTCACAATGATGAAAAATGAATCAGCAATTTTATGCACAGGATGGAAGATTGTTCCCAAACATCAGAGTCTCTGATAAAGTGAATCCTATGCTTATGACTGAAATGGAAGACCATCAGATTCCAAGGTCATTGGCCAAACGTGTTGTGAATGTATAAGGCTAGAAATATAGATGACCCCTCCCAAGTATCAAAATATTCTCAGATCTGGCCAGCCTCTCCTGTATATGACCCATCAGTCAGACCCTAAACTCATTCTTTTGACTCTTGTTTTCCCAAGTTTCTACAGTTCTAGAAGTTTGTTTAGATAATTTATTTCTCATAAAGAAACTGGCTAAACTTTTCTGATAAATTAGCTCAAACAAAACCCAAGCTAATTAAATATTGATTCTTTTTTTTTTAAACAATAAAGGAACCCTCTTTCCTCCATCATGGTTGTTGTTTGGTCATTTCATTCATGTTCAACACTTAGTAAACCCGTTAGGGCTTTTCTTGGGAAAGATACTGGAATAGTTTGCTGTTTCCTTCTCCAGATCATTGTACAGATGAGGAAACTGAGATAAACAAGGTTAAGTGAATTGCTCAGGGTCACACAACTACTAAGTTACTAAGGCCATATTTGAACTCATTAAAGATGAGTCTTCCTGATTCCAAGCCCAGTGCTCTATCCACTATGCCACCTAGCTTGCCCTTCTCCATCACAGTTACTCTTTTTATTATGTAATTAATTTTGTAATTAAGGAATATACACCATGGACAAATGAAAGCAATCATAAAACAAAAGTATAAACTGTTTTGGATATGACACATACCCAGAGTGACCTCAAGCCCTCAATGTAATAATACATAACTCTTCTTCACTTGGCTGAAAAGCATCTCACACCACTCAATGCAGTCCAGAATCTGATGAATATCTCTTTAGAATTCTCTTCATGTTTTCATCCAGATAAGACTTTCTTCAAGCTCTCAGGAAATAAACTAGATGTTTAACTTTGTTCTTTTTTAAAAGATCTCATAAAACTCCCCCATCCCATCTCAGCTTCTCATAAAGACTTCACAGAGTTTTCTTTAAAATATACCACACACTTCTGAAAGGGAAGAAATTTCACATCACTCTCTCTCTTTCTTCTCCATAGATCCACACACCTCACAGATAGAACACATTTTCTCCCTGATTCCACAAGAAGATACATTGCAAAATAAGATATTTCTCAGATTTATTCCAACTGATAACCATATAAAATGCTTTTCTCAAAATTCCATTGGGCTCTTAATGACAATGATTTCAGGTGTTCAGTCTGGCAATCACAAAGGACATGGCTATTGGGCAAATACCTTCTCTGGGTTTCAAGTTTCCTCCTATAAATTAATGAGGATCAGACTATTTACCTCTGCAGTGTTTTTCAGCTCGATGGCCTATGACTTTTGATGATTTAGGAGAGAGTGACATACAAGGATGTGGCTGTGGACTTCACCCAGGAGGAGTGGAGCCTCTTGGACCATCCTCAGAAGGCGTACAAGGGGGTCATGCTGGAGAATGCCTGGAACCTACTATCCCTGGGTAAGGACACTTCCCCTGGTAACTCTGAGTCTGCAAGCAAAGGGGACATCTTCATTCCCTAGTGTGCAGGGTTTGGAGGATCTATCAATTATTAGAGAGAGAAAATATTAGTCTCCTGTGTCCAAGAGACAGACCCCTCATGCTGCCTAGTTTTCCTAGAAGAAATCTTTGCATTCTGTGATAGGAACCAGAGAGTTTCCTTTGTTGCACCTGATGCTGTCTCTTACCAATTCTAGGTAGCTTCAGGTCGGAGATCCAATTGGTGTAGAAGAATCTCAGACATGCAACTAATCTCAGGGAGTTATTTGGTCTAACCTCTAGCTGGACGTGAATTTTGTCTGCCAAATCTCTGAGAACTGCTCAGGCAGCTTTTCCTTGCAACCCCTTCCTCTTTGGGATGGGCCTAGTATTTGGAATAGTATTCTATTTAACAAGCAGACATTGGTAGCTCATAGCTCTTACTTGTAGCCAGTGTAGCACATTTGTCCTTCATCTTCCTTCCTATTACCCCAAAATTCCCACAAAGATGGTGGGACAGGAAGCGAAGGGAATAGGCATTTATATTCACCAGCTATTTGCCATGTGCCGGGAAAAGTGATTTCTTTACACTATTATGTTACTTTATCTTCACAATAACCTTTGAAGTTGGGTGATATTATCCCCAATTTACAGTTGGAAAACTGAGACAAACAGCTGTTAAGTGACTTGTCCAGAGGTACCCAGCTGGTAACTATCTGAGACAGGATTTAACCTCAGGCAACCCTGACTCCAGGTTCAGGGCTCTCTCTACTGCACCATCAGCTGCCTCTGATTTCTAGACAATGGAAACTACACAATGAGTCTATCCTTCTATGAAGAAGGTGCACAAGATCAAATTCTCTGACTCCAAACAGGTTCCATGATTTTTCCCCCACCTCTCACCCAAAGGGGCAAACACTTCCTGAATGAACAGTACACAAGGTTTCTATAGGTCTCAGGAAGTGAGGAGCCAGTACAGGAGGACAGGGCAAAGGGTGATTCATCAAGGTCCCTGGAGCTGGGGCACAATTACCCTTTTACCCAGTTTGGGCGTGAGGAGTTTCTGCCAGAACGGAGCATAACAGGATGGGGGGCAGAGGGTTTGGCTGTTTCTCAGAACAGGTTGTACAACACATCCCATTTTGGGTTACTTGCAACACAAACTCTGATGGGTCAGTATGTGTGACCAGAATGGAGTGATTCTCAAAGTGGAGCAGCTCTGTATCTACACTCTTCTCCCTAAAGTGAACTAAATTACAAGTTTCTCTCCATGCTCATCCCTAACTGACTCCCATGCCCAGGGCTTCCAGTTCCCAGAGAAGATGTGGTCTCTTCTTTTGAGCAAAAGGAAGCACCATGGATGCTGGAGCAAGAAGGCCTGAGGAGCTGCTGTCTAGGTGAGTGAGGTGAAAGCAAGTATATGAGACCTGTGATTACAAGAGGCTGCTATGTGTTATGGTGAAGCAAGTGCTAGATTTGGGGGCAGGAAGACCTGACTTGGAATTCTTTCTCAGATTTTTTTTTAGCGGTGGCTTCCTGGGTCATTCACTGAAAAATGGAGCCTCAGTTTCCCCATTTGTCAAATGAGGTGGTTAGACTCCATGGCCTTTCAGCTCCTTCTAGGGATAAATCTATCATCTTATAAGAAGTCATTATTTGGAATTTGGGGACCTGGAATCTTCTGAAAGTATCAAAAGGGGTTAGGTTCTCCAATATGAGCTCTTTCTTAGACCTTCAAGCCAACAAACATTTATTAAGTGCCTCCTGCATGCCAGACCCTTTGCTAAGCACCAGAGACATAAAGAGATACCAGGACATCCCCGGCTCTCTTGGAACTCACAGTCTGGTGGGGCTGACAACACTCCAACAAGCATACAGATACCCACTATGGACAGGATAAATTGGAGCAGGTCTAGAGAGGGAAGGCACTAAAGTTAAGAAGGATTGAAAATGATTTATTGTAAAAGAGGGGCTATAGCCAGGGCTTCAGGGAAGCCAGGGCAAGTGTTCTAGGCAAAAAGGGTATTGAGAAAAACCCAGGGAGTCAGGAGGTGGAGTGTCCTGTTCACAGAACAGAAAGGAGGCCCATACCATATAGCATATATGGGGGGAAGTAGGGTGAAAAAAAGACTGGAAAAGCAGGAGAAGGGGAGGTGATGAAGGGCTCTAGCAGCCTGAGGGAGGATTTTATATTGGATCCTTTGCTGGGGAGCCAGAGGAGGTTGTTGAGTGGGTGGTGACATGGTCAGGTGAGAGTTTTAGGACAATGACCTTGACAACTGGGTTGAGGATTGCCTGACTGGGGGGAGAGAGGCAGCCAGATCAACCAGCGGGCACTGAAATATCTGAGGTGTGAGGTGATTAGGGCCTGAATTAAGAAAGTGTCAATGGTGGAAGAGATGTCACACAAGTGGAATCACAGGACTTTGTTCCATATTGAATATGGGGTCAGGAGTGTGAGTGTGTAAGAGTTGATGAGAAGTGCATGATACTTCATCTCTGAGCCTGGATTATTGGAGGATGCCTGCCATAGCATTGGGAAAGTAGGAAGATTTGAGGGTTGGGGCAAAAAGAATGAGTTTCACTTTGGATATGGTAGAAAGAGAACCAGGAGAGAGTTGTGTCACTAAAGCTTGGAGAGAAGAGTATCAAGAAAAAGGGGTGATTGACAGTGTCAAAGCCTGCAGACAAGTCAAGAAGAATGAGGTTAAAGAAATGACAATTTGAAGATTATTGGTAATTCTGGAGAAAGAAGGGTCAGTTGAACAATGAAGGTGGGAGCCAGACTACAGAGAGTTTCAAAAAAAGCAAGGGAAAGGAGTTGGAGACACCAGTTGTAAATGGTCATCTCTAGCTGTTTAGTTCTAAAAAAGAGGAAATAAATTGGACAATATCTCATGGGGATGTATGAATCATTGAGGGTGTTTTGAGAGAAATGATTTTATCTGTGTCAACAGGGAAGGAGTCATTAGTGTGGAAGAGAGTGAAAATCAGTGAAAAAATGGATATACTGGGGGAAGAATATAATAGGCTAGATGAGGGATGGAATGGGATTATTTGCACACATAAAGAGATTTGTTTTAGCAAATATAGCAAGCAAGTATCTTCTGATACTGGGGCCAAAAAGGAAATAAGAGCTCTGATTTATGTGAGATAAGGAGAATAAGATAGCTCTTGATAAATGTCCAGTTTTTCAATGAAGTAAGAGGCCTAGTTCTTAAGTGAGAAGGTGTGGATAGGGTTAGGGGTAGGGTTAGCCATTAGGGAGGGTTGGGGATGAATGAAAAGATTTGGAAAAGCTACTGTGGTGAGTGGCATGGGGAGTCAGCTTGGTAGATGTCAAAAGATTGCCTTGCCACAATGAGGGTCCAGCTAAGATTAGGTAGCTGAAATTTGTAATGGACCCAGGTGGCTTGATTTCATGATTTTCTCTCTCTCATCCAGGAGCACATGAGTTGGAGTGAAGGCTGCTGTCTTACTTAGAAGTTGTGTGAGGCTGAGCTATACATAAATCATTAGCCCAAGTCCCTTTCCTGATCTCTATGGCTCAATCTCTGTCTGATTCTTGGAGACTCATTGACCAAGTTCATGTAGTGACTATGACCTCAGTTTAGGGAGCTGGGAGGTAGAGACTTGAAGGTGTCCCATGGTATAAGACCCTTCAGGAGCCTAAAAGGGAGCATCTGTGATCTTCAATGTTGGGTCTGGTCAGGTTCCATCAGAGTTAGAACCTAATGCAAGAAAGAGACAGAACTATGACTGAAGCCAGAACATGCGTTTGATAATTCAGAGAGAGGCCAGAATGCAGGGATTGAAGTAGAGGTTAGGGTCTGCTGTCAGCCCTCTGCCCAGTCAAGCAATCAATAAACACTGATTAAGCACCTTGTGTTTTAAGCACTGTGCTAAGCTCTAAGGGTACAAAGAAAGGTAAAAGAAAGTCTCTGCTATCAGGGAGCTCCCAACATAGTAAACAAACATGGAGATAGAGAAGAAGAACAGAAGATGAACCTTACTCTTAATTGATCTACTTGAAAAGAGATTGTTTTTGAATGGAAATACATTTAGTTCAACAGAGAAATGACAAGGAGTGAGGATAATAACAATCCAAGAAGGAGAACACAATTGGGGGGAAATAATCTAAATCAAAATCATGATTAAAATAATAGCTAGCATGTATAGTCATATGAAAAAAAATATTCTAAATCAATATTGATCAGAGAAACGCACATTAAAACACCTTGGAAGTACTACCTCACACCAATCAGAGTGGCTAATATCACCAAAAAGGCAAATGTTGGATATTGGAGGGGATGTGGGAAAACTGGGACATCAATGCACTGTTGGTGGAGTTGTGAACTGATTCAACCATTCTGGAGAGCAATTTGGAACCATGTTCAAAAGGCTATAAAACTGTGCATACCCTTTTGTCCAGCAATGCCACTTCTAGGTAGACATCCAAAAAAAGGGACAAGCACCTATTTGTATAAAAGTATTTATAGCAGCTCTTTTTGTGGGGGCAAAAAATTAGAAATTGAAGTGATGCACATCAATTGGGGAATGGCTAAACAAGCAGTGATATATGATTTTACTGGAATACTATTGTGCTGTAAGATATGACAAGCAGGATGATTTTAGAAAATCCTGGAAAGACTTACATGAACTGATGCATAATGAAATGAACAGAACCAGAACATGGTACATCATAAGAGTAATATTGTTTCACGAGGAACTATGAATGACTTAGCTTTTCTCAACAATGCAATGATCTAAGACAATCCCAAATGATGAAAATTCATTGTTTTTAGCTCCCTAACCAGTAAATACAATGAACTGATGGTTATTATATAAAAGATTTATTTTTCTCCTGGATCATGACAAGTAGTGTGTCCCATGATATAAGACTATGATAATGTACAATGATAAATGTACTTGGAAGTTAATTGCACAGAATGTATCTTTTTTTAAACAATGTTTGTATTTAAAATCAATGTTGAAAGGATAGTATTTCTTCAGACATAACTTTCTTTTTTCTGCCAATGAAAAACCAGGTACGTTTTCATTGAAACTCTACTGAATGACTAATCTGTGTTGCCAAACAGTTCATCTGAGAAGCTGACAGGGAGGCGAATAATAACATAAGTAGAGGATAGGTTCAAATCTGAGAACAATCTTAGCATTGCAATGAGGGGTTCTTTAAGGTCTGTTTTTGTAGAACATTTGTAGGGGTCCATGATGGCTTCAATGTGGCCTCTACTGTACATGCAGAGCAATCATGATTCCAAAGAGCCTGTTATCTCTGCTGCAAGAATGCAAACCCCTGTAACATCTTGATCTGGTGATTACAGCTTTGAGGAGATGTGATTACAAGGTAACCCAGGAATGAGAGGGCTATTGTGGTGCAGTTCCAAAGAGTCATTGAGGGTCTGTGCATGCTTGTGACCATTTGCACATGAATGTCCAACGTTTCTGGAAGTTTGGAAATAATTTGATGTTGAGAAATAGAAAAAACATGTTACAATAGTCAGAAGCAGTCAGAGTGTGATGTTCTTATTGTAAGAACCCCAAAAGCATTAGATGCCTGACCATAATGATTTGGAATCACTGCAAAAAGAATTCTATTATCATTGAAATTTGTACAAGCTTGTTGTCCCAGAGCATAAATATCTTAGCAACAACAGTGGATGATTACTTAATACTTAAGGTGACATTAACAAATTTTTAGTTAATCCTTTGGACAACTGTATAGAACCTCCAATGGGGTTTGTGAAACCATAAATGGGAAAGAGCTTCCAGAAGACTAATAATGAAGCATGCTGTCCACTTCTTTTCTGTGTGTGTGATGTGTTCATTTTATTTAATAATATCCATACCATGTTATTACCATGGAATGTCAATTCATTTTAAACATTAGAATTCCACAAGTGTAACAAAGCATTACTTAAATATGTCAACATTTGCATTAGGAGAATGTGCCCATAATATGATAAACCATCAGATCTAAAGGACAGTAATGTATTTTTCAATTGGACATGACTCTTAGAGAGAAAACACAATACTGCACACATTTTAAGTCTCTTTACTGCTGAACAAGCAGTTCAAATACACATAAAACAGATGGCATTTAAAAAACAATTTCAATATGGTAGCAGCAAAAATACAACTAAGCCATACCACTTGTTATTCTTATCTTTTACTAACTTCATAATAAATACTACTGTGTTAAGTAGCCTGGTTAACAACTATTCAAGGCTCATCTTAAATATAAAGAAGAAAATACTTGCTACAATATTTTATTTCATGTTTTTCTTACAGATGTTCTTTTGGTCCTAGTCAAAGCCAGGCAGCCCTAGACACTGAAGTTTCCATCATTCTACAAGATGAGGAAGTGTTTCCTGAATTGTGTTAAAGCAGCTTCCCATATTATATCCCCAAATATTTCCTGTCTTAAAGCAATAGGAGCTATGTTTTGGCCCTCTAATTTTTCAGTCATTAATTTTTGAGATTTGAGGAATATGAATATAATTTATCCCAAGTAAGCTTCAGTGAGCAGTTCCTTTTGTGCTAACTTAGCTCTCCTAATTCACTCTCTGATACTAATCAGTATACCTTGAATCACCTGGGAAACTCAAACTTCCATGAAAAAAAAATCCCATCTTTAAAATATCATGATTGCTTGTCTCTGACATGTGCTGCTTTTTAGAACCAGATATCCCTAAATGATTTATTTTTAAACATAAACAGATGACCTCATTGTGAGGTATCTAACTCTAAAACATCAGCATGAAGACAGCATCTTTCCTCCTAAGGTTTGGGTTTTACCCAGTATTCCTGATACATGGAGTACAATATACCAACAGTCATTGCTCCTACTACGAAACCTTGGGCTCCCACACTTGTGTGAATCAGGTGGACAGACATTTTAGTGTCCCCTCTACTCCTCAGTTTGTATAATCCATATGCAACAATAGCTGCAAAGCCTGCTATTCCAATTGGGACAAATGGTGCCTCTTTAGCTTTTTGAGCAAGTTTTGATCCCAAAGTCTCATCATAAATGGAGAGGGAAGCATCATTGTCTGCTGACATTATAGCTGGTTGAAGAGCCTTCAGAACCAGATGAAGCAAAACCACCTTCCACAAGCAGCCAGTCACTTCAGCTTCACCTCCAACCTTCCCCATCTACGTCACCTGTCCACTTTTTTACAAAAGGATGATAGACTCAAATTCATGTATGAGATACATATTTTCAGACATGGGAAAGACCATATGTTTTAAAAATTGCATTTATTATGAGAATTTTTTTAGTACAAACATTTTATTTTTTAATATGTTTTATTTTCTCCTATTAGACATTAAAACTTTTCAAACATTTGTTTAGATTTCAAATTCCAAATTCTTTCCATCTTTCCCCTCTCCTTTCCCTGAAATGGTAAGCAATCTGATATAGGTTATACATGTGCAATCATTACTACAAGGATTTCATTTTTATTTTAGTGAGCCCAGACACTTAAAGACAATTTAAAAAAAAAAAAGAAAGAAGTAATGGCTAGCCCAAAACATTAATAGGCCAAGGGGCAGCGAGGTGGTACAGTTGATAGAGCGCCGACCTTGGAATCAGGAGGACCTGAGTTCAAATTTGGCCTGAGACACTTGACATTTACCAGCTGTATGACCCTGGACAAGTCCAGTTGCCTCACAAATAAAATTTGTTAAAGGCCAGAATGAAATCTTTTATACTTTAGATAAATACAAAAAACAGTACTGGTATTCTTCATATGACCTCAAATACTGCAAGAGAAAGGAATAAGATTGAAAGCTATTACTAGGGAAATTACATAATACTTCCAGACATGAAAGATTATGAAATAATTTGAATATTTAGTATATGTGCACCAAATGGCATATATCTAGGGAAAAAAATTTGAAAGTACAGATGATGAAAAGGAAAGATTGAAAGTGGAAACAGTCTATCTAGTACTATGGACAGAGCATGCTAAGTCATGGGTTTGAGTTCTTGTCTCTGTCTCTGGGATTTCAGTCAGTTCACTCAGCCATTCTGAACTTGTGGCCTGAGTTGTGAAAGTGATAATAATGCTCTGCCTCTGTCACAGGTTTGTTGTGAGGATCCAATGTAATTGTGTGTGAAGCTCTTTGTAAATTAAATCATCCTTGGGATGTGAGCTAATGGCATTTTGATACAATTTGTTCTGCTAATTTGAAGACTTGAAGTTTGAAGACTTTTCTCTTTACCTGGGGAAAGAGAATATAAAGGAATTTATGTTCTGCCAATGGAGGGAAGGGGAAATAATTACACATTTTATTGCTTGTTTCTTTCAGAAGGAGACATGAGACTGGAAGTGAAGGAGACTATGGCAGAGCTAAGTCTTTCTGTGGAAGAAATTCAGGAGCAAAGATCCATGGATGATGGTCCCTGTGACATCACTTGGGGAGAATTCTGTGCTCTACATCAGAGAATCCACACTGGAGAGAAACCTTATGAATGTAATCAGTGTGGAAAGGCTTTCACGAACAGGGCAAGTCTGGCTCAACATCAGAGAATCCACACTGGAGAGAAATTGTATGACTATAATATGTGTGGAAAGGGTTTTACACCAAGGTCCTGTCTTAAAATACATCAGATAATCCACACTGGAGACAAATCTTATAAATGTGATCAAAGTGGAAAGGCTTTTACCCAGAGGTCTTATCTCAGTGTACATCAGAAAATCCACACTGGTGAGAAATCTTATGAATGTAATCAGTGTGGAAAGACTTTCTGAGGCAGCTCCAGTCTTGCTCAACATCAAAGAATTCACACTGGAGAAAAAACCTTATGAATGTAATCAGTGTGGAAAATCTTTCTTACTGAGGGCTCATCTTGCTAAACATCAGAGAATCCATACTGAAGAGAAACCTTATGAATGTAATCAATGTGGAAAATCATTCCCACTGAAGGCTAATCTTACTTTACATAAAAGAATCCACACTTGTGAGAAACCTTATGAATGTAATCAATGTGGAAAGGCTTTTAGAGACAATTCCACTCTTGCTAGACATCAGAGAAGCCATACTGGAGAGAAGTCTTATGAATGTAATCAATGTGGAAAGGCTTTTAGAGACAGTGCCACTCTTGCCAGACATCAGAGAATTCACACTGGAGAGAAACCTTATGAATGTAATCAATGTGGAAAGGCTTTTACAGTCAGGGGCCTAAGGAACCCTTGAGGACATTGCCATTTCCTTCAGCACAGAGTTTCTAGGGCATCACTCCCTTTTCTAGTGGAGGAGGTGTTACAGTGCCCCTCACTTCTGGGATTATGTTCCCACTGGGCTCAAGGGCCTCTATATATACCTCCCAGAGGGTGACATGCCAGCTTGCCCAAAAATGCTGCTACATGATGGTTGGTGACATGATCATTACCCGGGATAGTCATTTTGACCAAAAATGGTCATCTTAAGTTTTACCAAAAATATGATCTGACCTTTTAACCAAAAATGGTAATAATACTGATTTTAAAATATATTCCCACTGGGCTCAAGGGCCTCTATGCATACCTCCCAGAGGGTGACATACCAGCTTGCCCAACAATGCTGGTTATATGATGGTTGGTGAGATGATCATTACCTAGGACAGTCATTTTGACCAAAAATGGTCATCTTAAGTTTTACTAAAAGTATGATCTGACCTTTTAACCAAAAATGGTAATAATACTGATTTTAAAATATGATATGCCCTCAGTGTTCATCATACTATACTTGTCACTGTCCCTTAGAAAAAAAGTGACATAAATGAATGACTTGAACATTTAATGGCTTTTAAGGTTCTTTTTAGCTTAAATTTAATGAACATATTACCTACAAATAGTGGCCACAGCAAACATAGAGAGCTGAGACAGAAAGGCACAAACATTTAAAAGGAGAAACTGGAATAAAATGATTAGGTATGTTGGACACCAGAGAAACGCAAGCATTTGTTATCAAAGTTGAAATAGTAAAACATTAAGAACATGATTAGTGGAGAAATGGTTGTGGGGAGGGAGCCATCCTTCCTCATCATCATCAACAACAAATGTTGACCAACTAACACCAGCAGTCATTCTAGATAGGCACGGTGGCCTTGGGAGTGGCCATGCCCTGCTTGACTATGGTGTACAAGGTCTGCTTCTAGCCCAGTCCTCACAGTTATTGTCTGAGAAAGCAAGTCTTGTGGAGAAGGGGCCAGACATCTACACATAGCAGGCCCAGGAGCCTTGGGAAGAATAACACTTCCCAGTCTGGTGCCCTCACTCATTCAGGGACAGATCACCTGTGGAGATGCACCTGGCAGGAGCTCCTGCAGGGCCTACAGCATCACCTAAGGAGGACCCAGAAAAGCAAGTTCTTGCCCCCAAAGTCTTTGGTACTAACCCTCACCCTAATTCCAATGGTTCAGCATCAGAAAGTGATTCAGATTTTATTGGAAGAGGTATCACCATCAGCTTTGCTATTTCACCCTAAGCACCATGGGTGGTCCATTCAACTTGCAGCTCAAATGTCTCATAGGTGTTGTCTTTCCCATTAGAGCATGAGCTTTGTGGGGTGCAATCTTACTTGACTAATATGATTTCCAGTGCTTGGTTACATAGTAAGCCAACTTAATCAATGCTTTGAAGATCCTGTTCATTCCTGAAGTTACGATTTAAAGTGAAAGGATATCAAAGAACTGTGAAAACCATTGGCCTTGATTACTATATATTCAGAGAGTCGAAAAGTTATCATGGTAGAGCTGAGTCAGGAAGTCCCTAGTTAAAACCCACCTCTGAAGCTCATCCGGCCCTATTTAATAACCCTCAGTGCCTCCTGCAAACTCCCTAAGCCAGCTGATCTGCTTTAGTGAAGGGATTTTCCATACCGAGAGTTCTCTATACCAGTGAAATTGCACGTCCCTTTCTAAATGACAGTGGAGAAAAGTACATGGAAATTGGAGATTTCATTTTTTTTATTTCAACATCCAAGGATACCAATTGACCAGGCAGAAAGAGCTTTGAGAACCAAAGACATGTAACACATAAAAACATTAACAAATACCATGAAGAATATAAAACAGCAGCAAACCACGTACCTTTTTCTTCAAAGTTTGGTCGCTTGGATTATAGGGAAAATAAAAAAAAAAACAACAAGGTTGAATGACTAAGACAGAGGTACAAATTGGGGGTGGTACGCTAATATGCCCTTAAATGAAGGCATCTATAGTTCTAAATATTCATTATGGAAACAAATAGGAGATTTGAGGTGTTTTATTTTTTGATAAAATTTAATCATTTTGTTCTGAATAGCAAAATTTACTCCATGTCTTCAATGGACGATTTGTAGGAATGAAGATCAGAAAGGCTCTTCAAAGATCACTGTGGTGTGATGATGATAGTGATGGTGATGATGATGATGATAAGTAGAAGAAGAAATGTATATATAGTGCTTCTCACGTCCTTGCTGGGCCATGCATTTTTATCTCATTGGATTGTCATAACCTTGAGAGGTAGGTGCTATTATCATCTCCATTTTACATATGAGGAAACTGAGGTAAACAGAGGTTAAGTGACTTGCCCAGGGTCACACAGGTGGTAAGTTATCTGAAGCTTTACTTTAAACTCAAGTGTCCCGGGCTCTGGGGGGAGCCAGTGCTAGATCCACTGCAGTGCCACCTAGCTGCTTCTATACCAACTCCCCCTTCCTATGTATTATAGTGGCATGATCATTGATGTCTCCACTTAGCAGCATAATGAGGGAGAGAGCATATATTAGTGAAATTGTCTAGATTTGTAGTCATGAATACCTGGTCTCTTATGTTTAATACTAGGCTATGTGATGACTCTGATCAGGTCAGTGAATAACATATTTTGGCATCAGGAACTCCTTGTATTCGCCTACTACATCACTGATTAGCTGCAACTTGTGTTGGTGGAGAGGCCTTGGATCCTTCATGTGTCTGCCTGTCCAACATTAAAGTCATGCTGGCCAGTCCATCATCAGCACACTGAGTGCTGACATGGATTATCTAGGTCACTTGGGCCTAATGAGCTCTGATCGTTGGAAATGTTTTGAGAACAAGTTTAGCAACAAACATCCTAGAATAAGCCCAAGCTAGGTTGTATTTAAACTCTATAGTTCAATGGCTAATATGGCGATGTTTTGTGTGGGTACCTATCATATTGCTTGCCTTCTCCATGGATGGAGGAGAGGCAAGAAAGAGAGAGAGAGAATTTGGAACTCAATTTTTTTTAAATGAATGCTATTAATAAAAACTCTATCAATCAAAATAGTCAATATCTCTTTACTCTAGACTACTCCTGACACCCTGGAAATTCACTTCAGTCCCTTGATTTCTCTCACACTAGCAATATCTGCTGCCCCTGCAGCCTCTTCCTCTAAGATTGGCCAGTGTCCTTCCAGAACCTCAATTTTAAGGAAAGTACTCAGGCCAACCATGTCTAATTGCCCGAGTTCACTAGGATTTAATCCCAAGTATTCCATTTTCTGGTTCTGGACATGGAGAACTTCCCTCAAGGAACTACATTTTTTATTTAGTATGGTGGTTGGGATTCATACATTAAATATCCACACAAATAGACACCCCCCTCCCCCACAGAAAACATCATTGCCACCTCAACATTGTTGGTTAGACAGTACAGATCCAGATCTCATATACAGAGCAGAGGTCCATTAGAATGTGAAGTGTCTGACTGTAAAGGTCCATCCAAGATTATGTTATGTCCATTTCCAGAATTACTTTCAGAATATAATGCTTTGCAAATATCCCTTTAGTTTAAGTCTGAACAGCAAGAAATTCCCTCAAGAAGCTATGTTGATTTATTTTGCAGATTGTGTATCAACCACTCATATTCATGAACATATTACCAACAAATACACACACAAACACATAAAAATGAGGGCCTACATTGTTGGGCTGAAAGGGACTAGACTTGATGATACATGAAGTAAGATACAGAGCCGAGGCTCTTTAGAACGTTAAGCATCTTGACTGTTGAAAGATAAAGATTCTGTTATGTCCAGTTGCTCCAGTTATCTCTCACAATGTAATCCTCGACATCCACTTATTTTGAAGCTGAACTTCAAGAATGCCTTCTTTGATTTATTGCATTCATGGTATGGTGACATGACAACATGCTTCTGACCCGGGTAAATTACCTTTGTATGGACCTTCAAAATCACCTTATCTGCAAATAAAAATAAGCATCCTTAAATGACCTATGCTATTTTCTTTCCTACTTCAGATGCAATCTTAATAGATCAGCTTCTACATTTCCCCATAATAATAATGATGCTGGCTAAACGAGGAATCCTTAATTAAATAATTATATTATCACTGATATTAAAATAAGATAGATAAAGTACATTATAAATGAAACACACAAACACACTCACACACACACACACACACACACACATACACACACACACACGGGCCAACATTGATAATCCAAACATAATGTTGGATTGTAAGATGACAGAGTTGATTCTCTATACAGAGCTGAGGCTCTCCAGATGCTCTCCAGCATCTGACCATGAAAGTTGTCACGATTACTCCTCAGGATTCAATCCAAAACAATCCATCTATTTTGAAGCAGAGCTTCAAGAATCTCCCTCAAATACCTCTGCTGATTTATTTTCCAGATTGTATTCATGGTGTGGTAACATAGCATTCCCCTGATCTACAGTAAGTTACCTGTGTATGACCTTCAAAATGACTTTATTTCCCCAGGCCCTCATTTCTCATTTGTTAAAAAAAACCATAAAGCATATTTAAATGATCTTTAAGATTCTTTCCCACATTGGATATAATATAATTATTGGCTTGACTTCTAGCATTGCTCCATAACAACAATGCTAGTTAAATAAGGACTTCTTAATTAAATAAGTGATTCTTAATTAAATCATTGTATTATTACTGATATTTTAAAAAGACAGATAACGTGTATCAATACCACAAAATATGCACACAAGGGCTAAAATTGATAACACTCAACAATTTTGGGTTGGAAGGCAACTAGATGTGATCCTGAGATTACACAGCTCATGCTTGTTAGAATGGCCGGCACCTGACCCATGAAAGTTAAAGACTGTGTTATATCCACTTGCCACCATTGCCTCTCAGGATTTCATCTCAAATATATCCCTTCATTTTGAAGCTGGAATTCAAGAGTCTCCCCCAAAGATCTTTGTTGGTTTATTTTTCAGATTAGTGGTATGGTAACATGGCAAACACATTCTTGACACTGGGAAAAATTACATTTGACCTGTGTGTCAACACAACTTATTTTAACCTTCCTCAGAACTCATTTCT